CATGCACGAATTCCAGGACTCCAGGATAACCTTCTAGCTGAGGTCAACTCAGCTCAGAGATTCAGAGGCCAGACTCTGGAAACCTGACTGACCTTGACCCCTACTCCTTACCCCGCCTCAGCCCTGGCTCTGCCTCTCTGGCCAAATCATAGACTCCTGGAGGCTGAGAGCGGGGTTGACTGCATTGGTACACCAGTGGCTGGCACGGAGTCCAGCGAATCAGTACTCGGAGGGTGGGGCGGGGCAGTATGTGGAAGAGCCGGCCTTTAGAATCAGACATGACCTAAAGTCTAGCTCTAGCTGCGTGGCCTTAGGCAAGTCAGTAGCCTCTGGGAGTGTTTGTCTCTGTCGGAGGAATTATTGATCCTCCACTTGAAGGGCTGTTGTGAGGATTAAATGAAGTGACAAGGGGTTGGGCCCAGTACACACCAGTTGCTTAATACAGGGAGCAATTATTATGATGAGGTTTTGCAGACGGGCGAGCAATCAGGTGTGGATTAAGGAATAGATGGGAGATGAAAGATGAGATTGTCAGAGAAAAGGGGTGAAGGTCACGGTGAGGATGCAGCTTTTCTCCCTTCTCCCGTCTGCAGTGGGGAGTCCCTTTGGTGAGATGGGACCAAGACACGGGGGGGGGGGGGGGGAGCCTCTTCTCTCAGCTCCGAGGCAGCCTCGCTTACTGAGAACCCAGTACACGCACAGGCATGCACACATTCAATCTGAAAATTATTTTCAAATTTGTAGAAAAGTTGCAAGGATAGTAGAAAGAGGACCATATACTTTGAATCCAGAATCGCGTGTTGTGAATTGTCACATTTGCCTTATCATTTCCCCTCCCTTTCTCTCTCTGAATACTGTTCATTATTCCAGAAGCTCCAGAGAGTGAGCTCCACATGCAGCAGCCCTTGGCCTGTAAATACTTCAGTATGTATTTTGGAAGAATAAGAACATTTTCTTGCATAAACACAACTTCAGTGAGTTCCTCATTAGCACTTCACTCAGTTCCTGACTGTGTAGCCAGAACAATGGCCCCATAAGGGTGTCCGTGTGCTGAGTAAACGTGTGCTGTTTAAGCTTCTAAACTTGTGATCACCTGTTATAGCAGCAATAGGAAGCCAATCCTAACACTTCCTTTAATCCCGACTGTATTCCTGTTTTGCCAATTGACCTAGTAATGTCCTTTATAGCATTTTCTCCCTCTGGTATGTGATCCCACATGATATCACTTGTCCTTATCTCTTCCATCTCCCATAACCTGGAATAGCTCCTTAGCATTTCTCTGTCTTACACAGGACGAGGACATTTTTGAAGATACTGTCTGGGCCTGGCCCCCTGCTCCTTTCTCAATGGACTGTGTCTCACTTTGGGTTTGTCTGAGGTGTTGTTCTGATTAGGTTCAGGAGCTGCCCCTGAGGCTGGAACACTGCATAAGTGACGTGGTGTCCTTCTCAGGATGACACGGGGAGGCACCTGGTGGCTCAGTGGGCCTCAGTGCCCATCTGCCTCTCATTGGTGATGTTCATTTTGTTCCCACAGTGGAGGTATTTTTCACACTGGGTGCCACTGAAAAGCGTCCCACGTGGTGGGAACTGGTACAGTAGGCACCAAGATTGTCACCGATCTGCTGGGAACTGGGCGCCAGGAGATACGTGCTACCTGATGCCTGCCTTTGAGGACTGTCTAGCCTCCCAAGAAGTTCCCAGGCTGGTGGAAAGCCAGACAAGTGGGCAGTCATTCATTCGTGCATTCATTCCACTCATACTTACCGAGCACCTACGTGGGCCCGGGCTAGGCTATAAAGGTGAGCGAGAGAGCTGGGGTTTACCTTCATGATGCTTACGGTCTGGTGAAGAGGGTGACTGTGTCCCCAGCACCTCGACCTGTGCCTGTCACATAACAGCTGCTTGGTAAATAGGGGCTGACTGTGTGAATTGCTGAGCATCAGAGCGGCGTCAGTCCTTACCTGAAGACAGTATTCTGCCTGTCCTCCCCAAACAGGTGGGAAAACTAGGCTTAGAGAGGGGAAACAGCCCTCTGTGGCCTAACCAGGTGCCTTGGTGGTTGTAAGTCCTGGTTCCCACATGCAGAACAGGCCAGTAATTGGAGTCTCCTGTCCGTGAGCAGCTGGAGGTGGGCCCATCCCGGAAGGAGCTGGAGCTGCCTTCCTGGTGGGCTGCCTTCTCTCCCCCTCCCGCTCTGGGGCCAGGGGCCCCTGATTGGGCCTGTGGTTATCTAGTCGGCGATAATACTGGGTTTCCTTTCTTCCCTGAGTTGTGTCAAATGTCGCCAGTGACATTTAGCTGACACACAAGGAGGAGGCTGGCATTTTTAGGTTGTCAGTGTGTTGCACGTGTAGAAGTGGATCGTGTTGGGCGTCTGGCTCCTTGTTGATTCCAGGGAGGCGGCAAGGCCACCTCCCTGAGTGGTGGGTAGCCCTTCTGCAGATCCCTCCTCAGACCGACTACAAACCCTCCCCGAAATTAATGAGGCCCTGCCACTTGTCCCGTTGTGATGGGATTCATCGCAGAATTTTGGGGAGCGAAAGACACCGTGAATTGTTCACCGTCTGTGGGTCTCCGTGATATTTCAGTGGTACTCTACCCGCTTACTGTCTTTCTCCTCCACAGCTGAGAGAGAATGTGAAAGGAAAACTGTCCTACTTAGAAAGCAATCCACAGTAGTTCAGTGTCTCCACATCGAGTATTTATTGAGTGCTTACTAGCTGACCCCACGTTAATTCCTTGGCCTCTCTGCCTCATTCTCCCATCTGTTAATTGGGGGTAATAATAAATAGTTCTACTTCATAGGGTTGGTTGTTGCGAGAACGAACCGAATTTAAATATTCAGGGTGCTATTCAGGGTGCCTGGCACACCGCAGGCGGCGCACCCCTGTCTGCACCCGTTACTGGCATTGCTGTGCTAATGATCAGTGTGGTGGGTGCTGAGGGTGCAAAGTTGCAGGAGATTCGCCCCCCTACCCCCCCGCCAGGCAACTTATGGTCCGATGGACTTGAACATGTTCAACCAGCTGTTCAGTCCATGGTTGCATTATTTCAAGATTCTGTGATTATAAGAATTGAAAGTTCTTTGATTTCATATTTGTAGGATTCTCTGAATTCAGGATCCTTATCTTCTATGGGTTTGTGATTCGAAGGTTCTGTGATTTTTCAGGCCAAGAGTTGACCTGAAATGATAAACCCTGGCTTGTTGGTCACCAAACCCATTTCCCTCTCCTGGGCACACCGACTGTTTTTCCAGGCTCCCTGTAGTTCGGTGCGGTCATGGAGCTGAATTTGGCCAAGGAAACAGGGTGGAAGTGATGCAGGCCACGGCCAGGCCTGGCCTGTGGAACCTTCCACGGGACCCTCCCCGCCTCTCCTCTTCCATCGGACTGAAGGCAGAGCATGCCAAGGACCCGCTGGCAGGAAGAGCCACTCGCTGTGTGGAAGGAGCCTGGGTCCCCGAAGGAGCTTGTGGGAGATTGTCCAGCCCAGAATGTGAGCAGGAACTGAACTTCCACTGGGTTAAGCCACCGAGATTATCTAAATTGGCAGGTGACAAAACCTTAGTCCATTCAGGTACCTGCTAGGAGTGATAAGGAGTCAAAAGTCAGGAGGTTGGGGCAGTGGGAAGGCAGGTGGGAAGCTTCCCTGGTGGAACCAGTCCCCTTCTCTCCCCATTATCTCCCATCTGCACCAGTTCTTGCCCCCTGCCTCCTCCAGCCCTGCAGCTGGGTCTTAGCATCCCTAACAAGTGGTCCAGGCCCCAAACTCAGCTTTTAGCCAGAGAGGCATAGAACTGTTTGCTGTGGTCACACCCTGTGGCTGAGGTCCCTGCCTCTCCTGCTCGTGCAGCAGGTTAGAGTTCTTGTTGTTCTGACCATGGGGCCGAGGACCCCGTCCTGTGGGCGGGCCCAGGCCTCTCATGTCAGCCCCCTTTCCTTTCTCTGCTGGACGAAGCAGCGCCCAGCTCTTTCCCTGGGTGGCCAGGAAGAGGGCTTCTCTCCACCACTGCCTGCACCTGCTCGGCCCGCTCCTCTCCTCGGGCCAGGCCTCTGACTGTGCCTGCCAGGTGGGCGGGCTGTTTCTCCTCAGATAAACCAGCCGCCGGCCCAGCCAGAGCTGTGGCCTGAGGACCCCGGGGCACCCGTCAGGAGAGGGCGGAAGTTGCTCCCATGGAATTAAGAATACAGTCTGTTTCTTGTCAGAGGAAACCTTTTGTAATTTATGCTTCAACTTTGCTGCGAGAGGTTGTGTTTTCAGCCTGCACGAGCTTGATAAGCAAATGGGCACATAAGAGAACCTTTGCTTCTGCCAGGGCCCGGCGCACAGCCTGGATCTGAACTTTAGAGACAGTCGTGTCAAGCTCCAGGTTGCAAAGACAGCGGGGGTCAGGGGAGGGGGGACGTGGGACCCTGTCCCCTTTGCACAGAAGGCCCTCCCCTTCTCTCTTTGGCAAACTGGAGCTTTCAGACACTCCCTCCAGGATGCCTTCCTTATTTCTCCAGATGGAATTAGCTGCTCTTTCCTCTATGCCTCAGTTTCCTCATCTGTAAAAGGCAGCTGCCTATGCATAGGGCTATGCTGAGGAATAAATGAGCTAGTTCCTGGACCAGGGTCTGGCCCTAGGGAGCACCCCTTTCAGTCAGCGGTGGTCTTGCGTGCGAGTTGGCGTTGGCGTTGGGGGCTTGCCAGGGTTCCAGGCTTCATGGAGATGCACTGACCTATCGGGAAAAGGCCACCAAAGAAATCTTGAGCTTCAGGAGCCAGTGTTAAGGACTGAACTGAAGAAAGGGGGCCAAGACTGTCCCTGGCCCCTGGGGACAGTGTCCCGAGAGGCAGGAGACGGGCTCGGTCACCGGCCTTCAGTGGAGGGAAGCACTTCTGGGTTATTGTTCGGGACCAGGGTCTGACCATCAGAGCCACCTGGCAGGGTGAGCACTTTTTTTTAAAGTATAATATCCATTTTATTTTTTTTCCCAGAGAACTTTTCTTCAGTTCTTAAGGACTTTCCATGGGGTTTGGTGGGGGTCGTGGGGCAGCACCCACAGGTCTAAATCGGGGTGGGGCTGTTTGGTCCTTGCAGGCCTCACAAGAGAGACTCCTGACCACCTTGCTGTGAGTGGCACAAGTCACGCAGTCACCTGTCAACAGTCCCACGCACAGCCTGGGAAGCCCGTAGGTGTGAAAGACACACACTTCGGAAATGTCCCTAATGGCTGCCGCCTCTCCTATGTTCCCAATGATGAACTTCTCAATGGCCTTGTCCTTGGGCTTACATCCGGTGCGGCTGGTGCAGCAAATAGGCCGCATGCGCCGTGGCTTTTTTTTTTTTTTTTTTTTTCCACGATCGTGGTTCCTTCTTTCCTCAGTCATCTTGGAAGCAAGGAACCGAGAGAGGGGAGCACTTCCGAGCAGGGACCCTGAAACGTCCTGCAGCCCAGCCCTCCAGTGAACACGCTTCCCAGCTTCCTGAAGAGGAGAGCGCAGGCGCTCAGTGGAACCCATCAACGAGAACTGGCGCAATCTGGTGCCCAGGCAGGTTACACCGAAGAAGCTGAGGTCGGGAGAGGGTGCGTTTCCTCCCCGAGGCCGGCCACCCAGCCATCACCTGCCCGAGCTGGGGTTGGAACAGCAGTCTCCAGGTCTTTCTCTTAGTCTGGTCCGGAGCCCGCATGGACGAGGGCAGCGGCTGCAGAGGCGGAGCGTTGGAGCGGCCTCCCGGCCGGCAGCGTCATGCAGACAGCTGGAAAGCTCTGGATGCCACCAGACAGAAATCATAAGCTTCCCCAGGGACCGGGAGAAGGAGGCTGGGGTCTCATGGCCTCATTGTTCCTCTTCCCGAGATGGCCTTCCCCTGCAGCCGGCTGGCTGGGAAGTCAGCAACATCACCGTGACGCCTGCTCCCTGCAGATTAGCGCTGGTTGGCAAGGGCCGCCATGCCGCACACACTCGCACTGGCTGTATGTGAATAACAAGATAAGAAGACGGGCTCTGTCACCATGCGCTGGTGCGGTCCCTGTGCGATCCCTGCGTCCCTCCAAGCAGGAGGCTTCGGAATGAAAGATGTTTAGATACAAAGCCGTCTACATGAGTTGCCATCTAAATAGCAAACACCTTCACAGCTGCACAAAATCTTTCCCAGGTCCGGTGGGTGGGCTGGGGAGAGAGAGCAGGCCGGGTGGAGGTGGGCTGCTCGTGCTGTTACAGTTGGAACACGGGGTGGGGTGGGGTGGGGGGCAGGAAGGCCTTCGAGATCTGACAGGTTTTTCAGGTTGGATGTGATCTCAGAGAATGGAAAGAGCCTGGGATAGAAGGCTGAGCTATCTCACCTTCTGCACCTGAGTGTTATAGGGATGAAATTTAGTACCTGTCTTGTCATCAACCGTAAGGCGGCCTCCAGTCACTGAGCTGCTGCAACGTGTAGCAGACACTTCTCCTGTCCAGGGAAGTCCTCCCCGGCGTCTCCCTGAACCCTGGCCAGCAAGTCTGTTGTCCTTTGCTCAAACACCTGTGTGTTAGAGGCGGCCTCGGTGTCAGAGAGCTCCGAATACGTGGGAGTTCGTTCCTTGTGGCCGGGCAGAGTCAGAGGTGCGGACAGCCCATCTCTGGTTCAGGGTGAGCTCCTGAAAGACCTCGGGATGCGAATGCGTCCTGAGTCAGGGAAAGAAGGTCCGGAGGAAGCCGGGTCAGCGGGAGGGAGGGTCTGACGCGCAGGATGCTCGGTCAGGTGGCTGGAGGCAGCCTGCGGGGAGAAAGGCGCGTGTTTTCGCCTGAGAGTCACTGGGCTGCGGGCTCAGATCTGCCACTGAGGCTGGGAAAACCGTTTCACCTCTCTGAGCTTCAGCTCTGTTATCTGGGAGCGAATAACAGTCCCCGCCTTCCAGGGAAGACATGAAATAGGGGAGGGAGGTTCTAGCAAGCAATGGTTGCTCCATAAATGCTGGTTTTTATCCCCTCTGGTGACAGCTGGGTTTAATCCGGCTCTGGTTTGCTGTGTTTCTGTGTTTTCTTTCCCTGTGTGTGTCTTGGAAGCCGGGCCGAGGAAAAGACAGGGGTGAGGCTCAGGAGTCCGCTTCTGTTGAACGTCTGACATGTTTGAGGTTTGGAAAGTCTGAGGTGCAGACTTTCTCTTCGTATAAGGAATTCTTCAGCTATAGATTAAAAGGGCTCGGTCCTCGGTTCTCGGTGCTCAGTGGGCCCTGCGGTGGCAGGTTGCCCGTCCTCCTGTGGCTTGTATTTGAGCTCTATGCTGGGAATGGGTGTTGACCACCCACACTTGGCAGTGGCTGAGCATGTACTGAAACACTTGGACTTGGAGTGCACTTTGGATTTCTCCAGCAAAGGTTCTGCACGACATGCCAGGGGGACAGGGAGGGGCCCATGGTCTAGGGGCTGGGAAAGCTTCACAGAGGAGGTCACATTTGAGCTGGGTCTTGAAGATATGCAGGAGTTCTGCAAAAGGAAAAAGAAAGAAAAGAGTGCCCCAGGCAAGCTGCACATGCAAAACCCATGAGCATCAAGGTGAGCTGTGGTCTCAACCCAGGTGGAACCTGGGAGTGTTGAGACAGCAGCTCTGCACCCATGGGGGTGGGGGGTGGGGGGGCAGCTGGTGAATCCCGTACATGGGTCCCAGCAGCAGCTGGGGGTGGTGCTCAGCGCGGTTCTGTGAATCAGCACTGACTGAGGACTCTGTGTGTGTCTGTCTCTAGAGGGGCTTTCACGTATTCACTCCTTCAACCTCCATCAAGCTTAGGAGGTGGCTACTATTTACCCCACTGGGGAGACGGGAAAACTGATGCCCACAGAGGCCAAAGAACTTACGGAAAGTCACGTAGCTAAAGGTGACGAGCACCGCTCATCCCTCTCTCCTGTTGAATTCAGGGCACTGTCATTTGGTGTCCCCATGGGAGAAGTGTGCAGCCCACAGGCTTATTATGTGATAAAGTCAGAATGAGCCACTATTTTGAAAATCATCGTTCAGCTGGGGATGGGAAGGGGAGGGAAAGGAAATTGCCTGCCGTGACAAGACGGAAAATGAGAGGCGGCTAAAACTACGTGATATTACTCACGCAACACGGACCTGCCCCCACACCTGGTTTTCATCCCATTCCCTTCCTTCTCTGCCCCCGGTGTTCAGGAGGGCTGGTCACAGGTCGCTGGTGATAGGAAACCAAATGACAGTGTCTAGGGTGACATCCCTGCTGGCGCTGATCTGGGGACCGCACCAGCCCTGGCGCAGGAGCCTCTTTAATTTCCGCCTTTGTCTTTTTCTCTTCTGAGGCTTGACTTTAAATTAAAAATTTCCCCTCACTTGTGGAAGGCACTGGGGATCAGGAAGTTTGTCAACAGGGATGGCGAGTGGGGCGGCTGTAAGATGGAGGGAGCGAGAAGGAGGAGGGTGGAGGGGGAGGGAGGAGGGGGGGCCTGGGGGGAAGTCGGGAGAGTGAGGGGTGGAATGGTGGGGGCCAGAGAGGGAATGGGAAGCTGGGGAAGGGGAGGAAGAATAAATAGGAGGGAAGGGAGGGAGAGTGGGGGGGGAGGGCGACGTCAGGTGGTGCTTTGGAGACCCTCTTCTCCCTGCCTTCTCTCTGCCCACCTCTGAGGTTCAGAAGGTGGGAATTTCCTGCTGGTCCACAGACCTCAGGGACCGTGTGGAAGTGAACTGAATGGGCATGTTCTCTGGAAGGGGCTGGAGTAGCCACCAGTGAGTGTGTACGATGGCCACTCTCAGACTCTGGAGGAGGGGGGGACCAGGGTGGGATGGGGGTGCTGGCCTGTGGACTCCAGTAGACCTGTGTTCAAATCCCGGTTTCTGCCACTTACCAGCTGTGAGACCTGGGGAAGTTACCAAACCTCTCTGGGCCTCAGCTTTCTTCCTTTCTCTCTTTTGACTACCAACTACTTGTGTGACTCTGGACATATTATGCCACTTCTTCAAACCTCATTTCTTGATCTGTAAAATGAGAGGTCAACGGGAGGATGAAAGGACACAAGATATACTTTAGAATCTGTATTAAGAACTGAACTGATGGGAGCAGTCATTGAGGAATTGGTTCAGTTGCTTTCATCTGTGTGCTGGGGTCATAGAGCCACAGGCTGGCCTGAGTCTGCATGACTTTCTCTCTGAAAACCTTAGGATTTGAAGAACAGCGGAATTACTCTGTGGCAAGGGAGGCTTCTGGGGTATTGTCATATTCTGTATTTTGATCTGGGAGCTGGTAACACAGGTGGTGAGCTCTGTAAAAATTCATTGAGCTATACATTTATGATTAGTGCACTTTCTGTATTCATTTTAAACAGTAATAAAAAGTTACTTAAAATATTTGTGTGCCAATTGAATTTTTAGTGATACGAAAAATTGTTAAAATTTTAAGGTAGGTTAAGTTTATTTGTTTCTTTTTAAAAATACATTTTATTGATTACGCTATTACAGTTGTCCCGTTTTTTCATCCCTTTATTCCCCTCCACCCTAGACTGCCTTCCCACCAGCATTCCTTGCCTTAGTTCATGTCTATGGGTCATACATACAAGTTCTTTGGCTTCTCCATGTCCTACACCATTCTTAACTACCCTCTGTCTATTTTGTACCTACAATTTATGCTTCTTATTCCCTGTATCTTTTCCCCCATTCTCCCCCTCCCCACTGATAACCCTCCATGTGATCTCCATTTCTCTGATTCTGTTCCTGTTCTAGTTGTTTGCTTAGTTTGTTTTTATTTTTGTTTTTAGGTTCAGTTGTTGGTAGTAATGAGTTTGTTGTCATTTTACTGTTCATAGTTTTGATCTTCTTTTTCTTGGATAAGTCCCTTTAACATTTCATATAATAAGGGCTTGGTGATGATGAACTTCTTTAAGTTTACCTTATCTGGGAAGCACTTTATCTGCCCTTCCATTCTGAATGATAGCTTTGCAGGAGAACTTCCCCAATCTGGCAAAGGAAATAGACTTCCAGGAAGTCCAGGAAGCTTAGAGAGTCCCTAAGAAGTTGGACCCAAGGAAGCAAACATCAAGGCACATCATAATTATATTACCCAAGATTAAAGATAAGGAGAGAATCTTAAAAGCAACAAGAGAAAAGGAGACAGTTACCTACAAAGGAGTTCCCATAAGCCTATCAGCTGATTTCTCAAAAGAAACCTTATAGGCAAGAAGGGGCTGGAAAGAGGTATTCAAAGTCATGAAGGGCAAGGACCTACATCCAAGATTACTCTATCCAGCAAAGTTTATTTGTTTAAGAGAGAAAAAACCTTATAGTTTGAAGATAGACATTGAAATGTTTATAGATGAAATGAATGGAATTTGATTATAAAAATACACCCCAGCATTGGGGAGAAGGTGAATGGGTAAAAACATAAGTGATTCAAGACTGGCTG